GAAGTAGAAAGTACAGGTATTTGAGTTCAACATGTGAGAAGTAGAAAGTACAGGTATTTGAGTTCAACATGAGAAGTAGAAAGTACAGGTATTTGGGTTCAACATGTAAGAAGTAGAAAGTACAGGTATTTGAGTTCAACATGTAAGAAGTAGAAAGTACAGGTATTTGAGTTCAACATGTAAGAAGTAGAAAGTACAGGTATTGGGTTCAACATGTAAGAAGTAGAAAGTACAGGTATTTGAGTTCAACATGTGAGAAGTAGAAAGTACAGGTATTTGTGTTCAACATGTAAGAAGTAGAAAGTACAGGTATTGGGTTCAACATGTGAGAAGTAGAAAGTACAGGTATTTGGTTCAACATGTAAGAAGTAGAAAGTACAGGTATTTGAGTTCAACATGAGAAGTAGAAAGTACAGGTATTAGTGTTCAACATGTAAGAAGTAGAAAGTACAGGTATTTGAGTTCAACATGTAAGAAGTAGAAAGTACAGGTATTTGAGTTCAACATGTAAGAAGTAGAAAGTACAGGTATTTGGGTTCAACATGTAAGAAGTAGAAAGTACAGGTATTTTCGTTCAACATGTAAGAAGTAGAAAGTACAGATATTTGAGTTCAACATGTGAGAAGTAGAAAGTACAGGTATTTGGGTTCAACATGTAAGAAGTAGAAAGTACAGGTATTTGAGTTCAACATGTAAGAAGTAGAAAGTACAGGTTTGTGTTCAACATGTAAGAAGTAGAAAGTACAGGTATTTGGTTCAACATGTAAGAAGTAGAAAGTACAGGTATTGTGTCAACATGTAAGAAGTAGAAAGTACAGGTATTGTGTTCAACATGTAAGAAGTAGAAAGTACAGGTATTTGAGTTCAACATGTGAGAAGTAGAAAGTACAGGTATTTGAGTTCAACATGTGAGAAGTAAGGAAAGTACAGGTATTTGAGTTCAACATGTAAGAAGTAGAAAGTACAGGTATTTGAGTTCAAACATGTAAGAAGTAGAAAGTACAGGTATTTGGGTTCAACATGTAAGAAGTAGAAAGTACAGGTATTTGAGTTCAACATGTAAGAAGTAGAAAGTACAGGTATTTGAGATCAACATGTGAGAAGTAGAAAGTACAGGTATTTGAGTTCAACATGTAAGAAGTAGAAAGTACAGGTATTTGAGTTCAACATGTAAGAAGTAGAAAGTACAGGTATTTGGGTTCAACATGTAAGAAGTAGAAAGTACAGGTATTTGAGTTCAACATGTGAGAAGTAGAAAGTACAGGTATTTGAGTTCAACATGTAAGAAGTAGAAAGTACAGGTATTTGGGTTCAACATGTAAGAAGTAGAAAGTACAGGTATTTGAGTTCAACATGTAAGAAGTAGAAAGTACAGGTATTTGAGTTCAACATGTAAGAAGTAGAAAGTACAGGTATTTGTGTTCAACATGTAAGAAGTAGAAAGTACAGGTATTTGTGTTCAACGTGTAAGAAGTAGAAAGTAAAGGTATTTGGGTTCAACATGTAAGAAGTAGAAAGTACAGGTATTTGTGTTCAACGTGTAAGAAGTAGAAAGTAAAGGTATTTGGGTTCAACATGTAAGAAGTAGAAAGTACAGGTATTTGAGTTCAACATGTGAGAAGTAGAAAGTACAGGTATTTGTGTTCAACATGTGAGAAGTAGAAAGTACAGGTATTTGAGTTCAACATGTAAGAAGTAGAAAGTACAGGTATTTGTGTTCAACATGTAAGAAGTAGAAAGTACAGGTATTTGTGTTCAACATGTAAGAAGTAGAAAGTACAGGTATTTGTGTTCAACATGTAAGAAGTAGAAAGTACAGGTATTTGGGTTCAACATGTAGAAGTAGAAAAGTACAGGTATTTGTGTTCAACATGTAAGAAGTAGAAAGTTACAGGTATTTGTGTTCAACATGTGAGAAGTAGAAAGTACAGGTATTGGGTTCAACATGAAAGAAGTAGAAAGTACAGGTATTGTGTTCAACATGTAAGAAGTAGAAAGTACAGGTATTTGTGTTCAACATGTAAGAAGTAGAAAGTACAGGTATTTGGGTTCAACATGTAAGAAGTAGAAAGTACAGGTATTTGGGTTCAACATGTAAGAAGTAGAAAGTAAAAACTCGTCAGAAAAATAAGTAGTGGAGTAAAGTACTGATACCAGAAACATGTACTTAAGTACAGTAACGAAGTCTTTGAACTCCACTACTTCCACCTCTGGTTCTCTTTATACATCGATGCCCTGGAGTCTTATTGTCCTGTGTTTGTCTCCAGGTGTGGGACGGGACCAGAAGTGCTTACACTCTGCCTAAGGTGATCGTGGAGCCTGACACCACGGAGGGACCGTCCTCTTTCCCCCCGGAGAGAGAGAGGCTCATCGCAAACATCCTCGTCTACGACAACCACGTGGAGTACGCTCGGCAGCTGAAGGTCAGAGCAACACAATATCTTACAAAGGCTTGAGTTCATAGTTTAATGTCTTTCCTGCCAGTGGCCATCAAACTCTATAACTCTTCACCCTTCAGTAAAGGGAACTTCCACACCAACACTATGTGCAATATAAATATCATTACAAAACACTTGCTGCTATATAACATGTGCAATATCATTATTATTAATAATGTTCTATGATAACGTGCGATTACGTACCTGGCAATACGTTGTTTGCACTACTAAATACTGTTAATATTTACTTCATTATGTGACCGTCTCTATTTCCTGTAGATATTTAATTGTTCTTTTACTGCAGTTTTATTATTATGCTGCTGTGTTTATTGTATTTTTGTAACTCTGGCACAACAATTTCCTTCAGGATAAATAGAGTCTTATCTTATCTCTCTTATCTTTATTAAGATATTAATATTAATATTAATCACGAATACTCCTCATTGAAGAGAGTTCATTCAATATTTTCACCAAATGCCTCTTGCATTAATGCAATAGTTCTCAAAGTGGGGGGCGCAGAAGCATGACAGGGGGGTGCGAGAGACCAGGAGGAAAAATGGTTATTTAAAAAAAAAAAAAATTAAAAAAAGAATTGATTCGAAAATAATATAATACAGTACTATGACGTCTGGTTCTCTGTGTTTCATTAAAGCTCGGCTCTGTGTGTGTGTGGAACGAGCCATTTTGTGTGAGTGCGCGAGCGAGAGAGAGAGAGAGAGAGAGAGCGCACCGGTACCGGAGATCGTTGTTGTTAGCTTCTGGTGCTAGCAAGCTACGCTAACGGATATAAGGAGTTTTTTCAACAACAAAGTGGAGGAGAGTCCTCTCCTGTCAGACTGAGAGACTCAGTGAGCTAAAGGACTCTCAGCGTTATCTCAGTGGGTCTCAAACGTTTTGGTCACCATTAATGTCATCAATTATTTCTGAGGCACACATTTATATGATCATTATAGTTATACAAAAATAAGAGAATAAATGAAAAACAGGTATGAAATACTATATAACAGTAAAACATGAATAAAGTTTAAAAGGGGAGTGATTTGTAAAATATCCATAAAGAAAAAGTAAATCTGTTTACAGTTCTGTTTCAAATGGGTGTTGAGAGATGTATCCATAGATCTCTTCATGTTGCTCTCAAAGTGCACCAGATTGATGCTTTTAACTTTAATATTTAAAAATAAATCTTCCCGGGGGAGCATGCCCCGGACCCCCCTATGTGAGGTCCACACACCACCTATAAAAATATCACTTTACCCCTGCTTACACCTATATGCCGTGAGCTGATTATCGAGCCTTCATTGTAACTGTCACACTGTGTGTGTGGGGGTTGTTGCAGTAGAAAGTTCCACTGTAGCGCCCGGTACATTAATGGGAAACCCTAAATGTTTGAGCACCCTCTATGAAACGTCAAGCTACCCCACAGCACCCCCAAAATAAATCTCTGGCGCCGCCACTGAGCCTGACTATTTGTGTTGGGGGGCCCGACTTTTTTTTTTTCTCCAAAGGGGGGACCTGACAGAAAAGGTTTGAGAACCACTGCATTAATGTCACACAGATCAGGATCGATATTCACAACATCTTTTGGTCAGGATGACGCTGTATTACACTTTATCTGACGCTTTTATCTAAAGCAACTTACAAAATCAGCTATAAGGTTACAAACTCAAAACAGCAGGAAGCAAGCAGGCACATCAGCTTCAAAAAAGCCTTTTAAGTTGTCAATACGAAAATGAGAAGTGTGTTTTTTGTATTATTCATATATTTTAATTTGCCATGGTGCTTTCAAAACAAAGGTTTTCAGTCTGTGATGCTCAGAACAGATGCACTGCTCGGAAATGAATGAAACATTCTCGCTTTTCTGTTTCTGTAATGAACTTTTCGAAGCTTCTTCTGTTGACTTGAATAGTTCACTAAATAAGAAAGAAACTCATACTGCTGACTAGCGCTTGATCTATTAGCGATGTTTACCAATTGAATTAGTCCAACAACACAAACCCAATCTCAAAATGTTTGAATGATTGCTTGGTTTTCATGGATCACCAGAAACAGAACGATTTGACTGTTAGACTTGATTTCTGTGTGATTTGGTGTTAATATCTGGCACATATGTTCAGACATGTTGAACCTATAACATGGATGTGACTCTCCACTCTTCCCACTCCCAAGAAAGGTCAGCAATACAATGCAAAAATCTTCAAAACCAGATGTTTCATTTATACCTTCAGGAACACACAAACAAAAACAACCCTAAACGTTTAAACAAAAACCAAACAAAAGCCTCTGACCTGAGCTCCTCCTCTCATAACAGGGACAGAGGGTCTAAGGACAGAGGGTCTAAGGACAGAGGGTCTAAGGACAGAGGGGGTCGTTTTTCTCATACTGATACTCTGAACAATCTGTGCTGTTGTATTTGCTGTAAAGTGTCTCTACTGTAGGCTATTTTTATTATATGTACAGCACTTTGGCTCCACCAAAAATCGTTTATAAATGTGCTATATAAATAAAACTTGATTTGATTTGATAACACATTAGAAAACAGGGTTAAAAAGAACCTTCTTTTCACCCTTACTACGGCTTTTATTGTAAAAACGGTTTGCATCCGTACATGATGTGTCCAACTATGATATTGAGTGTGTACAAACAAACAAATGAAAGTCCTAAGAAGAGTTGGAGGAAGACGGCTCACAGTTTCAGTCAATATTTCTGGTAAATAAAAGATAAACCCGAGCCGGTGTGTCGAGCTCAGTGAGATTACAGAGTGAGACGCAGAGATTGTTTCTGATGCAACCTGCTGATTGCACACGGATTGATCAGATACAACAGGAATCAGTCGGGGTTAGTTGCTCTGTTCGATGTTTGACCCTGCAGGGATGGATCGTGGAGCCAGAGATGCATTCATGTTTGTTTTGAGTTGAATATGTATGTGGTGCTGGGATAGTCAGTTGGAAATGAAAGGCTCAGTGTTTACGGTGTTAAGAAACTGTACCAACGGCTGAAACTGGGACGACATTTAAGCGTACCTTAAAAATGACGGCACTGATCGAGGTTTTCTGTAAATGTCCAAGTCTGTTTGCGTTTACTTCCTGTCTGTCTTCTTCTGCTGTTCCCTTTAGTGTTTACTTCCTGTCTGTCTTCTTCTGCTGTTCACTTAAGTGTTTAATTACTGTCTGTCTTCTTCTGCTGTTCACTTAAGTGTTTACTTCCTGTCTGTCTTCTTCTGCTGTTCACTTAAGTGTTTAATTACTGTCTGTCTTCTTCTGCTGTTCACTTAAGTGTTTACTTCCTGTCTGACTTATTCTGCTGTTCCCTTAAGTGTTTACTTCCTGTCTGTCTTCTTCTGCTGTTCACTTAAGTGTTTAATTCCTGTCTGTCTTCTTCTGCTGTTCACTTAAGTGTTTAATTCCTGTCTGTCTTCTTCTGCTGTTCCCTTTAGTGTTTACTTACTTCCTGTCTGTCTTCTTCTGCTGTTCCCTTTAGTGTTTACTTCCTGTATGTCTGTCTTCTTCTGCTGTTCCCTTTAGTGTTTACTTCCTGTCTTTTTGTCTTCTTCTATTATTCCCGTTAGTGTTTACTTCCTGTCTGTCTTCTTCTGCTGTTTCCGTTAGTGTTTACCTCCTGTCTGTCTGTCTTCTTCTATTGTTTCCGTTCGTGTTTACTTCCTGTCTGTCTTCTTATATTGTTCCCTTCAGTGTTTACTTCCTGTCTGTCTTCTTCTGCTGTTCCCTTCAGTGTTTACTTCCTGTCTGTCTTCTTCTGCTGTTCCCGTTAGTGTTTACTTCCTGTCTGTCTTCTTCTGCTGTTCCCGTTAGTGTTTACTTCCTGTCTGTCTTCTTCTGCTGTTCCCTTCAGTGTTTACTTCCTGCCTGCCTGTCTTCTTCTATTGTTTCCGTTCGTGTTTACTTCCTGTCTGTCTTCTTCTATTGTTCCCTTCAGTGTTTTCCTCTTTCCTTCTCTTGTGCTCTTTTCTATAGAGTGGACGTTAAATTAACCGGACTTCCTTATATGACGGGACATCTCTTGATCAGAACGTTCTCCTGAGCAGAGGCCACAGATAGTTCCAAATAGACCAATCAGCATTGAGTATTCAACCGAGCAGTGTGGGAATTTAATTTAAACCATCAAATCCTGAGATCAAACTTTACCACGGACCTTCAGACTGTATCCACTCTTGACTGTACAGAACATCATTGACCTCTGTCTTCTTGTTAATCACTTATTTCTGTCTCTGATCTGCAAACAGCTTTTACTCCCAGCGCCTCCGGCTCACCTCAGATCAAACGCCTCACAATAATCAGTGTGGGTTTTAGAAAAAGATGCAATCTGAGATCTCGGTTCGCTCTTCTCCGTCTCACCTGCGTTGTTTTGGAAGTGAAACTGCAGCTTTGATCCTCTTTGCTCCTCTTATCAGCGCTGCAGACACGGGCTCATTTACATACGCTCCGCAGACTTTGCTGTCACTTCACATGAAGGAGTTTTACTTCCTAAATACTGTTGTTCAATATCATGTGTGTGAGTTTTCAGTGGTAGGAAAGTGACTAAATACATTAAGTACTTAAGTATCGTTCGTAAGTACAATTTGATAGGAATGCCTTTTTAAAGAGTACGACTGCAACATTTGAAACAAATAACAAATTGAGATTATTTGTGACTGCAATGCAATATGATTCACTGTATTGTAAGGTATCACTTTTTGCATTATGATATTCATTATCCTTGACAAATATATAACAAATATTAAGTGTTTTTCACACTCACAGATAATATTCCAGCTATATAGAAACAGATATACAGCTACAAGGTTGTATAGAGATACGTAAGCATTTAACCATAGTGTACTTACAAGTAGGTGGAACATTGATAAATACATACATGTCTAAATATGATATTATTCCCTATTCCCTGTGTGTGTGTGTGTGTGTGTGTGTGTGTGTGTGTGTGTGTGTGTGTGTGTGTGTGTGTGTGTGTGTGTGTGTGTGTGTGTGTGT